TTTGGTTTGAGCTGCTGCATATGGCCAGATAATGAGTCAAGTTTTTCTGAATTCTGCCAGTTCACCTCATCGAGTTTTTCATATAGAAAATTTATTGACTTGGAGAGTTCCAATCCCAAATTTGATGAAACATCATGGTAGCTCTTCGCATCAACAGATTGAAAAGAGAGAGGAGGCCGACGATTTAAATCACTAGGAACACTTTCAAGTCGCCGAAGCATTCCATTACTGTTAGTGTGCCCAATACCTGTTTCGGGATCCGCTGCAGGCCTATCATGCGCTAAGTTTAGAAGGTCAGAGACACGCATATTACTTCTTGATTCAACAAAATTGTCTCTCAATACCGAGAAACCAAAACTAACATTTAGAGTAGCACCCTTAGCCTTGCCCTCAAGCTTATAACTTGTAGTCCATTTATCAGTACTTTTCTCCCCCTCCAGTTCCTCCGAATTCAATGGCAACAACAGTGTCAGATCTACCCACTGTTTCCCCATGTCAATGCCTGGAGCCCCAATTATGGATGCATAAATCAAGAAAAGCTTCATTTCATACTTTGCTGCATGATAGGGCCCACTTCTTGAACCATATACAGAACATTTATGCATCAAAGTCTCATCAAATTCAGCAATTCCCTTCAAAACCTTTGCTGCACGTGTCTGCAAAACCACATCCTTCCTCTTCCAATGCACAGACAAATTCATACCATTAAAACTCGGGGGTAACCCTTCAATAGAATGCGCGTGGAGAAAGAAACAAATATTGAACTTTTGACGACCAATGTGGGCTAAAGCTTTCAAGGGCTTCTTCCAGTTCCATGCTGATGATGATTTCTTGTCCTTATATGACACAGTTTCATTAAAACTTTGTGGGTTAAGACTCGATTTTGATTCTGATAAGCGGGGTTTCTCAACTGATTTAGATCGAGCACTGGATGGGGAAATCAAAGCCTTTTGTGGGGTTTTATGCAAGTATAGGGCTTTGCTTATTGCCTCAATGTCTCTCAGCAGTTGACCACTATTCGAACTTCCATCAGCATCACCATTTCTAGACTCAGCTTTCGAAAGCATCATTTTGGCATCATCAAAACAAAGAACCTCTCACATACAACCCAATTCTCAATAGAACATCTTGCCAATTCAGTTTTCACTGTTTAATGATTCACAAAAGATAAATAAGTATCCACAATTTAATCAATCAGAGATTACTGGATGCATCAAATAACAAACAAAGAAACAACCCCTTCAGATATACGAAACCCAGATCACTTTAGCCAAAGGGAAATCACAAGAAACCCCAAAAATGCAAAATGAAAAAAAAACTAACATACCAATCAATCTTGAACTTCTCGTTCAATTCAAACAAATAAATAAACAGTTACATCGTACAAAAAGAACTAATCTTTTTAACTTCTAAGAAATCAAATCAAATGAGCACTAAAAATTAACAAAAGATAGAATAGTTAACTTACAGTGATTAAAACTCAGTTCCCAATGATCAAATTTTGTTTCAATAGCTAAGCTCTGGATGGGTCCAAAACCGGGAAAAGAAAGGTCGAAGGAAATGGGGATAAAAATATGATAATTGAAGTTGGTTATACCGGTAATTTATCGGGGATCGTGTCTTGTCTTCTGAAAAGTTTTCACGAGATTTGAGTGAGAAAATCAATGTTTAGACTGCAGTAGTGGTAGATAACGCAGTTGACATTATGTTTTTTTAAATATTTTATTTTACTTTTATTTAAAATTATTTTTTAATTTTTTTAATTGGTTAATGATAAAAACGATACAAACAAATCCACATTAATGGTTTTGCATTTGATCTGACATTGTACTTCGTACTAAGAACTTTGAATTACAAAGGAAACTATATTATTATCCGTGCAACGCAAAATTCGAGCAGGTTTATTGGTTTAAAAATAATTTTTTAAAAAACAATAAATTATTTTTTAATATTTAGTAGTATAATAAAAATCAGTTTAAAAATATTTTTTAATATTTGGTTATGTCATAAAAAATAAATTAAAAAATAACTTATTCTTTTTTCAAATTTATTAGGATAATAAAAAATAAATCTTACAAATTAAAAATTTTAATAAAATTAAAATTAAAAAATATATAATTTTATAAATTATTTTAAATAAAATAATAGAGATAAAATCTAACAAATTAAAAATTAAAATAGGAAACGCAAATAACAATTATAAAAAAAGAACCATGGTTAATATAAAAATCAAATTCTAAGAAATGAAATTAAAAAAAATATTCAAAACATATATATATATATATATATATATATATATATATATCACAATTAAGAGTGTGGAGAGGCTAAATTTAATATAATCAATAAATAATATGACATTTCTATATTTTTCATAATTTTTAAAAAGTATTTTTCACCCAAAATAAAAAAAAAACATTTTCTTTAAAATCAAGCTAAATTTTTCTTTAACTAGAAAATGTTTTTCATTGACCAACTTTCTTAATAATAAATAAACATAAAAAAGTTTATAAAGTAATTTTCAATGAATCACTTTTCATTAAACAAACACCTCCTCAAATCAAATTTGTTTTGGATGCAAAAGATATTGTTGAAATGTTTTTTAATTAAAAAATCAAACAATCTAATTAATTTAAAAAGATAAAAAAACAACAGGATAACCAATAAAGTTTATCTCAAAAGAAAAAAAATGATATTTTTTTAACTAATAAAACAATAGTGTATTAAATTAATTTAAATTAACTCGGATTAATCTCTTTTAAATTCGTTATCACTATAGAAAAAAAATTCAAAAAATTTATCAAACTCAATTTCCTAATCAACTCAAAATTTAATGATAAAAATCAAAATAAAATTCAACTAAAAAAAATTAAGTCAACCTAAGTTAACCGTAGTTATGAGATCAAGATAATTTTATAGAAAGTAAATCCTTTTTTCCTTTTTATAAATCTAATGTAAAATGGTCATTTTCAACTGTTTCCTCATCCACATTTCTTCATAAACTCCACTCTTGCATGTTATAAAGCTTTGAGACTAAATCAAACCAAGCTCAATTTATAAATTAAATTAAATAATCAAAAACAAAAACGTAACATTTTTTATATCCTCTCATACACTTCATTATTGAGAGGATTTTATTTTTTTTCATTTCATAACCTCAATTCTTTTGTGTTTTGCCCTTTGATCATTTTATATATGTGTGTGTATTCATTTCATCACCTCAATTCTTTTGTGTTTTGCCCTTTGATCATTATATATATATTCATTCATTTCATCACCTCAATTCTTCTGTGTTTTGCCCTTTGACCACGCAAAAGAATTGAGGTATATATTGATCAAAGGGCAAAACACAAAAGAATTGAGGTATATATATATTCATTTCATCACCTCAATTCTTTTGTGTTTTGCCCTTTGATAAAAAATTATGTTGCCATTATTATTATTAGTATTATTATTATTATATTAAAGATTGATATTATAAAACAAAATTATAGATTATAGTTTAAAAAAATTAAAAAAAACAACCATCATTTACACATGATTTTTTTAAGGGAGTCAGTCGTAAATAATAACGGCTACTTGTAAGATAGAAATATTATGCATGACTTGTTAAATTATGTTATTTTTTAAAATAAATTTTAAATGGTGATATTTCTTTTTTTTTTATTATTGTATTACTTATAAAAAAACAATAGAAAATTACCTTAAACCTTTTAAAATTTGTTACAGATTTCACGTCTGAGAAATTATATTTTATATGCATGGTGAATATGAATTTTAAATTTTGGAAAAAAAAAAAAGAATACCCATATTTATTAAAAACCTGCATCTCTTGTCTCTGTGTTTACAATCAAGATCGCTAGTTCTTAACTTCTCTCTAAAGCTTCTTTCAATTCCCCAATCAAAACCCATCATCATCCTAAGGCTTACAAAACCAAATCCACCTAGCTGTCTTGTTGAAGACTTCTCACATCTTTTGCAACCATGCAAGTAACAGTAGAAGATCTCTTGAATAATCATATCTTCTATAAAACAAGCTAAACGGCATCTATGCTTCCACCCTACTCATCGTCTCTAATTTGACATGGAACCTTCAACGCAATCACGTTATCAGCATTTCCACCTTCAATTATGTCAAAGTAGTGAGTAAATGCCATCAATGTTACTGTTTTGTGAGCTGGTATGGTTTATACATGAAATGGTGCAGCTGTTGTTGCTTTTCTTATGAACCGAACACCTTGTCAGATGCCAAGGAAACATTGTTGGAGCTGTATTGCTAGAGGACACAGTTAAAAGATGGACATGCTGTCCTCGACGCTGGATGTGGCTGGGGATCACTCTCTTAAAAAACTGCTCAAAAGTACAGTAACTGTGAAATTACTGGGATTTGTAACTCAACAACACAGAATGCATACGTTGACGAGCAGTGCCCGCATGATACCTGTTATATTGGCATGTACTTTGTAGGGTTCCGGCTTTCCATTCAGACGTCGAGTGTTGACTGTCTTATTGATAACTATATTCCCATTTTATATTCAAAAGTTATCCTCTTGGTTTCGTTTCTTTAGAGATCTTCTGCTGCAGATTGTGGAGATCATTGTTGCAGACATCAGCACATTTGAAAAGGATGCGTCCTATGACCGTATACACTGCATTGGAATGTTTGAGGTCGGAGAATTTCATGCCACATTAGGGATGTGATGACCGTAGTTGATTTGGTTTAAGATCGAACTTGTTCTATCCCAGCATATGAATAATTATAGCGATCTTCTTAACAAGATATCCAAGTGGATGAAACAAGATAGCCTTCTTTTTGTTCAATATTTCTGCCACGGAGCATTTGCTTTTACAACTTTCGGGTAAAGCTTGTCAGAATTTGTTACCTGGAATTCAATTCATATTATTGCTCTAAGTAAGCTATATCTGAAGCATCTATTCATTCAGCACCTGAAATGTTGAATAAACTTACATTCCTGCCTCTGTTTCTAATATATTCAGGATAGATTACTAGGTATTTCCTCATCGGAGATGCAATGCCTTCTGCAAATCTGTTACTTTATTTCCAGGTCTGCGCTTGCATACCTCATTCTCAAATACATGCCTTACTTTCCGAGCATACCAGGCTCTAGATTCAAATCTCAATGAATGTATGGTGATGCGCCAAAGGATTAGAATTACAAAATTAAATCATGAAATCATATTAGAAGCATACTCAAACAAGAAAGAATTCCAACCGCAGCATGAATTTCACTTTCTCACTTGTCGAAAGCTTCCTTCTAAAAACTCTCTGTGCAGGATGGTGTTTTCGTTGCAGATCATTGGCTTGTGAATGGGAAACATTATTCATAGACAAGGTGAAGACGAGTAACTCTGCAATTGTGCTAATAAAAATAGACTTGGTTAAGAAGCTTTACTTCCTGGGAAAAAGTGCAGAACTTGCCAAATCAACTACTCTGTTGTGGTTGGCATGGATCATCTCATTCGTCAAGATACATTGAAATCTCGCGGTCAGGAGTGGCTCAAAAGAATGGACCAGTACTTGGCTTCCATTAAGCCAATAAAGGATTCCACCTATGGTAAAGATCAAGCTGTTAAATGGACCGTCAACAGGAGAACATTCTTCATTGCTGTTGCAGAACTCTTTGCATAGAACAATGGAGAAGGGTGGATGGTTGCACATTTCCTATTTAAGAAAAAAATGAAGGATTCCTAGCTCCTTTTCAGCAGAAAATACTATGGTGGAAGAGGTGGTGCTGTGAATCTCGTTGTCAAAGTCAATAAAGCCTTCATGATATGGTCTAAGCGAATCGGTCGATTGAATAAGGAGGATGTACTTTAGCATTTCGAAAGCGTAACCCATCATCAGGTGAATAACAGTATTCTTATATCACAAGTAAAGTTGCAATTGGGCTCCCAGAATCAATCAGGAACTGCTTTATGGACAGCTATGCTCCAAGTTTCTCCGTTCAATTAAAATTCCCTTCTTTGATTTCAGTTTTCAATGCTATATTAGGAATTGCTTGCTATATGCTAGTGAAAAAAAAAAAAGCTTTTGCAAGCATTGTAATGCAAGCACATATATTCTGTCAAATTGATTCAAAATCCTCTTTCAGTGTAATAAATGGGTTTGCCATCAAGCTTGAGCATTAGTATCAAGTACTGATCATTTAAGAGCAGTGCCCTGTACAAAAGAAGATAGGAAACAAGAAACCTGGCTGTATTTCATCATCAATGAGTACAAGCAACTGAACAAGATCTCCAAATCAAAATCTGTTGTTGTAAATAACTAACATTTAACTTGAAATTCTCAACACTAGCATGTCAGAAAAAGTTTCCTGAGCCCTCAAATTCACAAGGTACAACCAATAAAATAATTCAACAGCAGGCTTCTCTCCATCTATTCTACAGAACGAAACTCTCCTACATCAGAAATTGCAAAACAAAAGGAGGAACCTGGGATAGATAAATTTCTAGATTCAATGGATATGCATCTCCAGCAATTTAGCGCATGGTAATAGTCTGCATCCAGATGCCATCGTTATACATTTTATCAGTTTTGCTTGCTAGGAGGTTCTGCAGATTTATTACCTGAAGAAAACAACAATTATCACCACTCAACGAAAATCAATAACTAGTATATTCATCCTATATTTTCCTTGCTAAAAAACAGCAAAAACACAAAATGCAAGGAAGACATTTTGTCAAAGTAAAATACGCACGTTCTTGGTTTGCCAGAGATGTTGATTTAATCCATCATTTCTATAGAATCGCAAACACAGACAAATGAGCTGATATTTCATAATAACAATTACCGATTCTTCTTTTGTAATTGAAGCACGATAATCTTTTAGGCTGAACATGTACCTAGCATGAACAGAATTTAAACCATGCAAGGAGCTACAGAATGGAGATATCACAGATACATAAATAGAGACAGATAGACAGTCTATTGTCCAAGAGCAAGGTTACTGGCTCTAGTCCATTTTCATCAAAATATTTTGCAATCAATTTCTTCATGGAATGACATCACTCAAACAACCCAGTAAACCATTTGATCGAATTAATCCAACACCACATCTTACAAAAAATATAAATAATCAAGCAGCAAACCCACAAAAGCTAATGCACTCACCTTCTAACTTGTTCTCTAGCGTGTTAAATAAAGATTAAAGTATAAAATTCACTGAGAAACACCGTCAACTGGCTTTCCTAAATCAGATGGAACTATTTCAGCTTCCAAAAAACGACTCAAATGCTTATCATCCAAATGTTCCTATAACAAAAACATAAACGAATAAAATTATAAATGTTGAACAATGGGATTCAGGATTTTTAAAGAGAAAATATGAAAAAGAAAGTAAGGGAAATGGAAGATACAGAAAGGCAAGCTCTGTATTTTTGCCACTCAGAAACACATTCCTCTTTCCCCCACTGTCCTTTGACAAACTTCTCTGAATACCACCTATGCAAAAAGTATGCAGAGGATAATAGTTAGGGTTTAAGAGGGGTTTTAGTGAAGAAAACAGCCAAGAAAAAGAAAAGGAAACGAGACCCGTTGCTGTTAAGGGAGCGAAGAAGAAGGACCTGTTGAAACAATTGTGGTAAGCAGCTCTGAGATGAGCACAAGGAGATGTTGAAGATTGATCTCTTTTGTCCTTCTTTGCAATCCTCATCTTGCTTCCCTAATGATTTTGCCCCTTTTTCTGCAACAACAAATAAAGGCTGCGTCTTGTTCTGGATGTTCCAATATCATAGTTACTGCTTTTTATTTTTTTATTTAAAAATATATTAAATAATTTTTTTATTTTTAAAATTAACAGATCAAAACAAAATAAAAATATTAAAATATAATTTTAAATAAAAAAATAAATTTTAACTAATTTTTATTTAGATTACATTCTCAAATAAGAGCTTAATAAAAAAATAAAAAATAAATTGCTTAATTTTGAGTTTGGGGATACTTGTATAATTAGAAATGACTTTTAAAAATTTTAAAAACTAAATTTTAATTAATTTTTGTTTAGATCACACTTTAAAATAGGAGCTTAATTGAAAAACAAATTGCTTAATTTTGAGCTTGGGGATACGTGTATAATTAGAAATGATTTTTATTTATACCTAAGTAGCCTTGCTTCTATCCTTCTAGGTTTTATAAAACTGAAAGAATTACTATAAAATTATAAAATAAAATAAAATATTTTGTATTTTTGTGTTTGCAATATTTATTAAGATACACAATATTGTGGATTATACTTAAGAAACATTGTGATTGTTTAAGAAATATGTAAAAATTCAATTTACATTATTTGGTTTTAGTTTAGGTATGTACATTTCAATACTAAAACTTTATTTTTATTATATTTTAATTCATATCTTTTAAGAAAAGAAAGAAAAAATTATTGAAAAGAAAAAGGAGATAGAAAGATTTTAATTAGTCATGTTTTAACAATAAAAAAAATATCAATTATGATATCAATAAATTGATTTTAGAGACAAAATTCAATAAAGGTTGATTTGCTCCTTAACCACGAAAATAGAGAAGAGCCCATAAAACTTTTTAATTTAATCTGATTTTTAAATCTTAAAATAATTAAAGGGTGTGTTAAGATTGAAATTATTAAGGTTTTTAGGATATTTAAGGAGATGTTATTAGATAAAAATATGTTAAAATTTGGTTTGTGGATCCAAAATTTAGAAATATGATTTTTTAATAAGTAGAGGTGACCAAAATATATTATAGTCATCATACATTCTATTTTAAATAAAATGTAATATTTTTAGATAATAGTTCAAAACAAACACAGATATACTTATTAAAATAAAATATTTTTATTTATTTATCAAATTTTAGTAGAGTCTCCTTTAAAACTGGAGATTCCAAGTTATCCAAAAAAAACCTATATAATTATAATCATGTATTATAATCATATATATGACATAATGTATCATCTTCGTCATAATTATAATAATAATTATAAAATATTCATATATAATCATGTATCATAAGGAAATTATAAATCAAATATATGCATAAAATTATGAAAACATCTTAATTTAAAGAGTTTGCTTACATTCATTTATCGAAAGTAAAAATTTAACATAGTTATTATATAATTAAGTATATAACATTTGAACCTTAAGAGGTAATTTAATTGGCTAGTCTTTAAGTTTACCCCCTAATAATCATGAGTTCAAGTTATTTTAGAGTCACTAGAGACTTACATGATTATTAACTTTAGGACTCATAGAATTAGTTGAGGTGCGCGCAAACTGTCCCGGATACCCACATTAATAATAAAAAAATATAGAGAAATTGTCTCTCACAAAAAATTGTTGTAAAAAATCAGTTAAAAAATAAAAAGTGAAACCTTATTTACCTAAAATTTCAAACTACAGGTAAACCCAAGTTAACAAGTAGAATCCAAATAAAGAACTGTAGGCAGAAAGGACCACAGGGGAAAAATAGAATGCATATTGATATCAAAAGAAGCAATTACCTCTTGAGAAATGTCATTCCAACCGCTTAAATCTCTAATAATTGTTAATCAAGTTCTACACTGATGCCAATATCAATGTAACCTGTTGACATCCTTAGTTATTCCAACCCGAATTAGCTAATCAAAATCTATATAAATATCGACATCAATATAACTTATTGAGTTATCCAAACTCGGAATAACAAATAAAGTTCTTTTAAATACTTTAATTCATCATTTGTTAATATCAACATCAAAGGTCATTTGACATCATCAACGTTCTATTAGGAATATATAATCAAGTTTTTTCATCCATATATTTCTTTCTTTTTATTATTCATTTATTTATTTATTTTTCATAATAATATTTAGAATGAGAAAATGAAATTCAATACTAATAACAATAGCATAACTTGAAAATTTTATTAGCATTAGGTACCTATTTAATATATTTGAAGTCCCTTCTCTAGCTCAAGTGAGTGGCCCAATTATCAAGGTACCCCTACAAATCAATTTAGTCATTAATCAATATTACGCTTTGAAATTCAGAAACAACCATTTCCTCTTTTTTTTTTTAATTTTTACTTTCAACATGTTCCATGATAATTTTTCATATCAATTTAAATATATCATTTACATATTTAACCATCAAGATCTTTCATTAATAATTTTTTAAAAAAATACATCTTCACATAAGTATATATCATATATTATTTTTTACTCACCTTTCCCACTCTTTGACTTTCCATCTCTCTTTCTCAAACCCAAACAAGTAAATAGAAAAATAGATTAGTTCAAAGGATAGGCACACCTCTAAAAATTCATCATCCCTAAACACTATAACACTTATCTTAAATTGATTTAACTGCCTGCATTTTTGCTTGCTTCATTATGATCGATCTGGATATCGTTAAAAACACCAACGTCATTATCCTCAACATTACTGACCTCTCCATTAACTAGGGGTGAGCATTTTCGGTTCGATTCAGTTTTTATCTAAAAAACTAACCAAAATCAAATTTTAAAAAATTTAAAAATTCAAACCGGAACCCAACCAGAATCGGTTCAAACCGACCGGTTTCGGTTCGGTGTTTTTACAAAAAAAAAATCAGAAAACCTGTCTTATTTTCTTTAAGGCTTTTTTGGGCTTTCTAATGGGTTTTTTAATGGGCTTTCTGATGGGTTTGTAATTAATGTAAATATTATCTAATTTTGTTACAAAATTCTATAATATATTTAATTATTTTTATAACTAAACATTTATTTATATTAAATTATTAGTGCTAATATTGTGTTTAATATGTTGCAAGTCTTTATAATATTTGTGTTTTGAACTTCTCATGCATCAAAGTTTAAATAACACACACACCAAATTAAAATTAAAATTACAAAGCATTGCCTTCAAAAGGGCTTAAAAAAATAACAAATAACATTGCCATAAAAAATAAAACACCTCATGCAAAAAATATAAATCTTCATTGTGCATATCATCCCAATCAAAAAGCACATCAAGATGACAAGAACATTGCA